TACTCACTGGCCACCTTATTAAGAACACCAGTACATTTGCACAGTTATGTCATTATTTAATCAGCCAATCATGCAAAATCATGCAGACATGGATCAAGAACTTTAGAGAATTTTCACATTTGGGATTTTCACAGTCTCTAGAGTTTAGTGTGGAAAGCAAAAATTATCCGCTGAGTGGCAGTTCTATATGTGGAAATGTTATTAAGAGAGGTCAAAGGACAATGGCTGGACTTGTTCAAGCTGACAGAAGGCTACAGTATAAGCACTCCATTATGGTGATAAGAAAAGCATCTCTGAACACACAACACATTAAACCTTGAAGTGGATGGGCTACAACAACAGAAGGCCACATTGCATCCCACTCTACTCAGCCAAGAACAGGAATCTGAGGCTACAGACCAAAACTATACAGCTGAAGATTTGAAATTCTTCAGCTGGTGTGATGGATTCTGTGACATGTTTATGCAGTTGGTGTAAACAGCATGAACTCAGCATGGATCCAACCTGCCATTCAACAGTTCAAGCTGGAGGTGGTGGTATAATGGAATAGGGAATGTTATCAATGTTATCAATTAAGTATCATTTTAATGCCATGGCCTATCAGAGCATTACTGTTGACCATGTGCATCCCTTCATTGACACAATTTATCCATCTTCTAAAGGCTACATCCAGCATGATAATCCACCTTGTCACAAAGCAGTGAGTGAGCTTCTCCAGTCACCAGATCTGAATCTGATAGAGCACGTTTGGGATGCGAGACAACAGAAAATCATTAGATCAATTATGACAACATGAGTCACAGTCTTTGTTTCCAGCACCTTGTTGAATCTATGCCATGAAAAATTCAGGATATAAGTGTACAAACAACAAGATGAGAACAATATCAACTCAAATATGGACTGCCATCACATCCTAATTCTGTTTTTATCTTACTACGGGATATTGACATATTAAGAAATTTGGATTAACAGTCAGTAGAACAAATGCATTTTTACAGTCCTTGGAAACTGTATCAACTGCAATTTCTGTCTGTTATCTTAACATCTTAAAAACCTGAAGGTCTGGATGTGGACCTTCATTTAAATTTCTCATTCACATATCTACATTACTTATGTGTAGTATTAACCAGTGAAGTAACTAGCATCTTATGGGCTCCCTCATATAAAAATACTTTCAATGATTTACAAAAAATGTAATTTGCATGTTTCCTTGTTATTAGGTCTCAATTCATCTCACTAGCATCTAGCATTAACCCAAATGTTAATGTTATATTACCTACTTGAATCACAGTAAACATTTCATAATCATGCCATATATAGCTGTCTGACACGCTACTGGTCAAGTAATGTTACATAAATACACTCATATCGTTTGATGGACTTTTGATGATTTTAAATTTTGGACTTAATAAATAATAACTATATTGTTGTACGTTGTAAAGGACCTGTTTACAGTTAGTGTTGATGGAGCTAACTGGTGAAGTATGTGTTTAAGAAATTCTATCATTCTGGGATGTCATGGCTGTACAATTATGTCAGTTTCTATATTAGGGGCCCAATAAAGATTTCGTGTCGTGTCCGTCTACTTCACACTTCAGTTCATACACCTACCACACAGTGGCGCTTAAATCGCTCTGAACGGTCGACAATCAAAACACCTTTTGATCTAAACGTCGAGGGGGGCGATATATGCAAACCGGCAGAATAGAAAGCGCAGTCTGGCTAAACAAATCACCAATTACAGTTTTTCCCCAAACTGATGCCATAATTGTTGTTGTTATTGTTGCATGTGTTCTTATGACCCACGCATCCTGCTAACACATCTACAAAAATTAAGCTAAAAATATATTGGCAGCGGTGGGATTCGAACCCACGCCATCGAAATGACTGGAGCCTAAATCCAGCGCCTTAGACCACTCGGCCACGCTACCGCGATAGCATATAGTTTAACAGGTAACTAAAAACCACGATGTTACAATGCAGGTCCCTGGCATTTGGATAAGCTTCATCAAAACGAGCAAGGGCTGGAAGGTACGTGTTTTTAAGCTTCTTCAGTTGTACGGCTAGCACACTGACAGGTCTAAGATAATTTAATTAACGTTAACAATTGTTGCGACATTAACTTTAACTGTAACTATGGCTCTCAATTTCGCTTGTTTTTCTAGAGTTTTTTACACTTTTAACGGAGCTCACACACTGGGATGGCACTTTACCTGACTTACGTTTTACAGCGTTAGCTAACGTTACTTACGTGGGCAATCGACCAATACTGGGAAATATTTTCTTTAACAAAATCAACACTTCTGTGTTGAGCTGTGTCGTCGAATACACTATTCTCTATAGGTGACAGCTTACCATTGGCAGGTATAATTTGCATGTGCTTTGCTGGATCTACGAACCCGTGCTGTTTGTGGGCGTGTGCGGTACGTGCGCTCCGTGCACTCCAAGTATGGCGCTGTGGACTGGCTGTACTTTAAACGACCTGCACTACTGCGCTCACTGGGACCCCTGGTGGTCTGCTAGTGCTGAGCACCATTGCTCTCGCTAAACACACCGAACCTTGCCTGAATGTGATCCAATATGCAGTATCCCGTTCTTGCATTTATATGCGCATCTTAATGTGGTTTAATACTCGTTAACATAAAAAGGAGGCTAGAGAAATGCAACGGAGGGTTACATTTCTGTGTAACCTCCAGAAGAACTGATTCCATAGAGGGCGCAAACGGGGCCACTGTGGTGTGATAGCGGGCTAATGTTACTCCACCCCTTACTCTGTCAAAAACAGAAGCATCAGAGCTGAACTGCTGGTGAAAGGAGGACACGTTGCACCTTTCGGTGGGCGAGAGCAATTTCAGGGATAGCAAGGCTGTGGGGCTGAAATTTCCCTCGAAACAAAAACCTGGAAAGAAGAAAAGAAACAGAAGGAACACAACCTGTGAACGACATGCCTTGCCAAGACTAGCTTGGTTTATTTAAAGGAAAGGTAGCTAGCTAGCTGTTAATGTTTACTTTTGACGGCTAATGTTGCCAACAGGATGGCATATTTTGTACAAAAGCTGCGGGCTAGCTAAATTAATTTCAGCTGTGTTAGTCAACCATTGAACAGCTCTCTAGATCTAACTAGCTGACACAGGTGGTGATGACATTTAGCTCTCCAAACATTTTCATTTTAGAGCTAACCTACACAGGCAGTGATGGCATTTAATGTTAGCTCTCCTAACACGTTATGCCGTATTGTTTAGGCACAAATCTGTACGAAGCTTAAGTCAGCTTCTTGTTCGAATTTCCCCGTTCCAGCTTAAATGGTACAGCAGTTAAAATGGTATTTATGTTTAAAATGGTAATGTTCGAAAATTCGAACAAGAAGCTGGCATATAGGAAGCCAACTTCAGCCTCATGTAGCTAGCCAGCTAATCTGTCAGATAGGCTGTATGCCAACTAAGCTAACGCTTTAGTTAACCTAACGTACCTTGAAAAATGAATTCATTTTAATGTAGAAAGTTAAACTGTCATAGGAGAGGACTAGCTAAAGATAGCTAAATTACCAAGCAAACTGGAGTCTTTATTCACTATCATTGATTGTCTTATTTGGCTCACTTAAATTGAACTTGAGTTGTATATATATGATGTGAATTTGTTTCGCATGTCCATTTCAGCACTCAACAAATACTGTAAGTTACGGGCTATAACTTCACACACCAGCATAATGGCTGATGACGAGCTTTTGTTCAGTATGGAGGAGGTTGGCAGCCTCAAAAGGAGTTCTGGTGATAGAACTGTGCAGTTTGGAAATTCCAGTTCAGTTGATGATGATGAGGAGGACTTCTACATCTGCCCCATCACTGATGACCCCGTCAGTCCAGCTAAGGAAATCTGCAATTACCTAAAGAACATCGCCAACAACAGACAGCTCTCTAATTCACTGCCCAAAAACTCATTCACCTACAAGGTGAGTGACATTTTTGTTGTAGATGTGCAGTAGTCAGTGCATGTCCCATGAATTAGAGGTGGGCAATAGAGCAACAATGTAATATCACAATACTTTAACAAGTGTTTACTGTGCTCAATATGTCATGATTCTTACATTGAAAAATACAAACAAGTTCTATGTTAGAAATACACATTATGACATACTGTAACATTTTTTTTCATAATAACGATAATTATTGTCCTGTCGCCCAGCCCTAGCATGAATTTAGATTTATTGGGCTGGGTTTCATGAGGAATTGAGCTCATACAATTCTATATTTATAGCTGCTTAACATGGCCTACATTTGTTATATAATAGCAAATATGTCCTTGTCAGAAATATCAAGGTGGACTGCCCTGTTTACATAACAAATTACTGGACAAAAGAGCTTTGTTGTCAGCTTGTGGACAAAATATTGAGTTCCATTTTCTTGTTACTTGGAGGTATTTCAACAACTGCAATCCTAAAATACTTGTGTTTTTAGTATAATACCATTCTTAATGATACACTTTCTCCTGTACAATCTTACTGCCATATAAGGAGAAGGAGCTCTGTCTGAAACACATGGTTATATGGTGATCAGCAGCTGCTTCTAAACCTCTTTTAAAGACCAGGAAGCAATGACACAGTGTTATCTCTGTGGCTACGTTTAGATAAACAAGTCTGGCATTTTTTAACATCCTTGATGCATGTTGTGGCATATGGTGTCCTGTTCTTTAATTCATTTGGATATTGATGGGGTGCTTTTTGGCACTCTTGTGCTGTGCATGCAAACCACATCTTTCCAGATTCTGTTTTGGTCCACTTTCGTAGATTTAGGTCTGATGTATAAAGTAAAAGCTCATCTGATTTTAGCATCAAAGTCTGTTGTCCAAACAGAGCCACTGTAATGTTTTTGTCTGTCTAACTGTCCACTGTATCTACTCCCCTTCCTCCCCTCATCCATTCAGAACAAAAATGAAACAGAGCCAGAGGTGCGATCGGTCAGGTTTGGTTCTTTAACTGAGAAAGGTTGGGTATGTTCACCATTCCAAGTTTCAGTTTTCTGTGTTACTCTGTGCTGCTTACCTCTTTCTTTTCCCTTTCTCATTAATCCATTCTTGCTGTGGCTTCCTGCAGTCATGGTATGCATGCCTTTCCTTCACAATAGGAGTTTTCCTCTCCCGTTCTGTCAATCACCTGTTGTTCCTGTTAAGTGTTTTAGAAACTTGATCCCTGCAAGAAAACAAAACAGTAACATGAAGTTAACTGAACTGAAACTTAGTAACAGATATAAAGATTTTTTTAAATTATACATCAGGAACTAGTTTATATACGTTTAGCTAAGCAATATATTTAAAGGGGATTTCCACTGTATTTCGAATGTTCTTTATAATGAAGTGGTTAAGATGTAAAGTCGATAAAAGTGATTTGATGTAAAATTCTCTGTTCTGGAGAAAAGTACACAGTCAGAATTGTTGTGACGGAAACCAGGTTTGTGGCGTGGACATAGAGTAAGACACAAGGGAGGCCATGATTCTGCTGCAAGTAGTTCTCTTCTTTTAAATATCAAGCCGAAACAAAGGAGAGGTCAACGCCAACCATAGGCTTCCACCCCGTGGTGACCAACCTCCAACACAAAACACCCACACCCCACTGGCACCAAAAAACATTCACACATACGTTTAAACTAACAAGCAGCAACATTAACAACATAATTAACGGCTCTTGAGCTTTTCAACAGCAGCGCGGTCAGTAGCGGGTTGCTACAGGTTTTAATAGTTTTACAATAAGGTTTTGGCCTTAAAATCTGTCCGTGGAGGAGAGGAACATGCAAGGTGCTGTTATTCAAAATAGTCCTCAAAGAAAACGTGTTTCTTTAGATTTACTACTGTTTTACCATTATCATGTATCTTACATGCATTATTAAACATGGATAGGTTCATTGCTCGTTTTGAATAGTAAATGAGGTAAAAGACATGTTGATTCTTGGTCTCTGTCAGCAACATTATACGGAAATCTGAGGCAGTAATGCACGGCTTCATATTAAACCACTCTGAATTACTTTGTGTACATCTCAACAACTAAATTATGCTAAATTTTGAAAAGTTGAAATTTCCCTTAAATAAAACTTGCATATTGTAGCTTAGTAACATATATTTAATAAAAGTTTAAATAATCATAATAGTAAGATAAGAAGTTAATGGCAATACCTATTCTTATTGAAAAATATACAGACTAATGAATACAATTTCTATCTCGTGTTCTCTGTATTCAGGCAGGCACATGTGCATCTACACGTACTCACTGTACAGCCAAGGCGTTCCAAATTGCTAAATATAGGCTACTCTGCTACAGTATCTAAGGCATGCCTGCTATTCCATGATGTAGTGTTGGATACAAAACCATCTAGCAGATTTGCATTACCAGTAATACTTGTGTGTCACTGCTTATTTTGAAAAGTACTCTTATAATGTATCATGTATGCAACTTAACACCAGTCATATGAGGCTTCCACTGTCGCACTCTGTTTCTCTGGCTTCCAAGTCAATGGTTTATGTTTGTGTAAAGGTGTAATCTGTGATAGGACAGGCAATAATATTCAGGATTTACAGTGCAAGCTGGTTCCTGGTGTCTTGCACAGGAAAATAAACTTTACACAAATTTCTCCTTACCTCAGAAACAGTTGATGGGTCAGTGCGTGTTTGTTAACAAAGTTTGCAGTGAAACTGTTTATAAACTGCTAATATAATAAAAGTTTATGTCACCCAGAAACATTTCATTTTTTTAGTCACATTAGCCTTTCAGATCCAGCAAAGCACACTGTGGACAAGAAAACATGTCTTGGCTATTGGGAGTAAATTAGATTTCCCAGTGAACCGTTATTTTTAGGGAAACAAAGTTGATAAGTGCCCATTTAGTCATTTCATTGTTGATTTACAGTTTATCTTTGCATTGACTATTCTACTGGATTGTTGCATACCTCACTTGTTGCTTCCCATGCCTTTCTGTTCCCTTCTCCTTTTATTCCATTATTTTGTTTTGTGCATTTGCTATTTAAATCTTACACAGTAAAGGGAAGGACATCAGTTACATTAGGTAATGGTATTGGGAATGCTTGTGTGGGAGAGATATGGAGGTTTTTTTCAGGGAAGGTAAAATCTTTTCACTTTTTTTCTCTCTGCCATAGGCCACTTGGAAACATGCTATTGAAAAAGCAAGAGCGATGCCAGACCCCTGGGCTGAGTTCCATTTGGAAGATGTTGAGACTGAGCCCTGCATTAGATATAGGTTTGTAGCTTTGTATTGCTTTTCTTGCTCTACATAAAATAACACTAGCAGTGCTGGTTTCTAGTTTAAGGCCTAGTACTTAGGCCATATACATTACATGCATACATTTAGGATAAGCGACTGTGGGACGCTGTGCAGAACGTAAATAAAAATAGAATGCAATGATATGCAAATCATGTAAACCATATTTTTAAAGGAAAATACTACAAAGACAACATATCAGAGGTTGAAACTGAGAAATTTTATTGTTTTTTTTTTTTGTTGTTTTTTTTGAAAAACATATACCCATTTTGAATTTGATGCCAACAACACGTTCCAAAAAAGTTGGGACGGGGCACGTTTACCACTGTGTTTCATCACCTCTTCTTTTAACAATACTCTGGAAGCGTTTGGAAACTGAGGAGTCCGACTGGTGTAGTTTTGAAAGTGAAATGTTTTCCCATTCTGGTTTGATATAGTATTTCAGCTGCTCAACAGTTCGGGGTCTCATTTGTCATATTTTTCGTTTCATAATGTGCCAAATGTTTTCAGTGGGTATCAGGTCTGGACTGCAGGCAGGTCAGTTTAGCACCCGGACTCTTTTAGTACAGAGCCATGCTGTTGTAATACATGCAGAATGTGATTTGGCATTGTCTTACTGAAATAATCAAGGCCTTCCCTGAAAAAGACATCGTCTGGATGCCAGCATATGTTTCCAAAACATGTATATATCGTTCAGCATTAATGGTGCCTTCACAGATGTGCACATCCCCCATGCCATGTGCACTAATGCACCCCATCTTGAATGACTAGTCCATTTTAAATAAGCTCGGGCCCAGAGAAGGCAGCAGCGTTTCTGGATCCTGTTTATGTACAGTTTCTTCTTTGCATTTTAGAGTTTTAACTGGCATTTGTGGATGCAGTGATGAACTGTTCATAGACAGTGGTTTTCAGAAGTGTTTCTGAGCCCATGTACATAATTGTCTGTTTTTCCACTACGGAAAATACTGGTTTTTGGCCTTGTCCATTGCATACAGAGATTCCTCCAGATTCTCTGAATCTTTTAATGACATTATGTATCGTAGATGATAAAAAGCAAAAGTTATTTGCTATTTTATGTTGAGAAACCAATTTCTTGAATTGTTGCACTGTTTGCTCATGCAGTCTTTTACAGAGTGGTGAACCCCTCCTCATCTTCACCTCTGAAAGACTCAGTCTCTCTGAGATGCTTTTTTTTTAATACCCAATCATTTTACTGACCTGTTGTCAATCAACCACCAGGTGTTAAAGCATTACACAACTTTACCAGCCTCTTGTTGCCCTTGTCCCAAGTCAGTTTTGGCATTTTAAATGTTGGCTTTTTACTATTTTCAATGAAATACAGGGCTTAAATGATTTGCACATCATTGCATTTTATTTTCATTTACATTTTGTATTTTTATTTACATTTGGTAATTTTTACCACTTTAACGTGGATATTGGTGACAGTATTCCAGTTTCACACCAACTAAATAATCTTGAACAAGTGTTTCTGTGTGATGATAAATAACAGGCTTATGAGCATTGGCAGAGAGACTTATGGATTTATGTTCTATTTTAAAAATGCTTGTAACTTAATTCCTGTCCAGTCTTGATGTACAACCAGTGTATATGTGCCATACGCAGACACATACGCAGTAGCAGGGGTTGTGCTCCTTCTGGAATGTTCCACATGGTACAGAGTGTTCTGGGATAAGAGGAGAAATGTGCACACTTTACGTGTGTATATATCAGTCATGTGCTAGCAGGGCTGTGCCTGTCAATGGTCTTCTCATGTCTTCTCTTTGAATGTTGCCATAAGGCACACATGCCGGGGTGTGTTGCATGTTAAATGCACTCTTAGCCTAAAAGTTTTTTTTTTTTCAAAATATTTGTACACCCGATTGACACTGAAATAATTAACTGAGCATTGAAGGGCCCATATCATGGAAAACAGATTTTTTTTTTGCTTTAAAATAAGATTTTTACATATAATGTATAAGCATTGTTTTTAAAACGTACCATTTACTCCTTGGTTCACATAGTCCTTGTATGGAAATGGGTTTTGATTTTATTGTTTTTGTGACGTTACTAAACCAGTGCACTTGCATATATGCACCTATTCAGTCTGCAGCTGTTTAGCCCAATGTAGATATAAGTAGTTTTTTTTTACCTGGTCTGCTTTTGAATGAGGCACAACGCAGGGTAGCCAATCAGGATAGTAATTTACGTGTTCAAGTCTTTACAGAGAGTAACAACAGTGATTTAAACACTAAGAGAAAAGTGGCAGACATAAATAATAGTGCCCTTTAATTTTGTATTTCTAACAAGTAAATGATGGGAATCAGTTTGACTAATAAACTTGGTCACCTTCTAGGTACAATGCCATTACTGGTGGATGGGCCCAGGACCAAGTGTTTATTAAGATGTCCTCCCAGGTATTATTGCACCTTCACAATCACACAGCTACATAGACACATTGGTGTAAAGGATGTTATGTTAACTTTGACATGTTGATTGTACAGAGTATAATACATTGTTTATTCATTATTCAGCGTTAAAAATAAAAATTCTTTTACAGCCCTTTGGAAAGGGAGCCATGAGAGAGTGCTACCGAGCGTAAGTGGTATAAAAATTCACTCTCACGTATATTCCCTTACCCTCAGGAAAGCATTCCACACATTTTTGATCTTGGTGATTAAAATGCCCTTTTTGTGTATGAATTCCTGTTGTAGGTGAGGTGGCAACAAGCTGAAATGAACTTTAAGAGCTTTAAAATATGCTCAGCTTTGTCCTGTCTAGGGATGTACCCTTTTGTAGCATTGCAGGAGAATTTTAATGATTTTTCCAAAATGGCTACATAATTAGATCATTGTACTGTAAAAAAAAAAAAAGTCATTCAGAGTGGCTTGATATGAAATGCTCTTTTCAAGACAAACCTACAGGACCAGACGTCTGAAGAGTTTAATGCCTCTAAAGGCTACCTCCCCAAGAAGTTACTACACCACAGAACACATTCGATTTCACTTGTCACTCTAACATCAGTCACTCCACTTTGTGTTCTCAGATTAGTCTGTTTTCTAAACGTGTGTAATCACTTAGCTGAAACTGTGGTGTGTGGCACTTTTGGCCTTTTAGCTAAGCAGGCACTAGTTCAGCTAGCAGGCTATAGCTACAAACACCACAGAACAGCTTTGACTTTTTGCTTTCTGTCGCTCCAACACCAGTCACTCAATTTTGCTGTCTTGTATATGAGTTTTTGTGTGTTTACATGTGTCAGCAGAGCACCAGTTAGTTGGAATTAATGTACTGTGTCGCACAAATAGGATCTGTAGCCTGTTTGACAAGCTAATGTTAAATTAGAAAATTGGCTACAGATCCAAACACCACAAAAAATGTTTAATTTCGCATTTCTGTCCAACCAGCAACAGTTGCTCGACTTCACTCTCTCAGATTTGAGTCATCATCTTTCTAACCTTTTTTCATTCATTTTGACATTTATTGAATGTGAACTGCACTGCATTTGCTTATTTGGTGACAGTGTAAACCAATTGCAAACTGAACTTCATTTCCACAGGATATAATGATTACCTTTGCGCAAAAATAACCTGGGACTGTTTCTAATGTTCGGTTTATAATAAGTAAAAAGTTGTCATAATGTTTACCATCAAAGGAGTGTAAAGTTCTTAAAAATACTTATGTGGCAGATTTGTGCAGGACTGAAATCACTGAAAAACACTGGTAGTAATTACATTATTCCACCTTCCAGTGTGAAACTCATGTTGTACTTTTAACCGCAGTTCACTGACTCATAAGTCTTCAGTTAGTTTGTTTTGGTATAACCTTTAACTTCCGTAAAGAGACAGAGTCACTGTGCTACTTCCTTTGTTTTCAAGTTGTTCTTCACACTTATCTTCAGCTTTTTGAGAATAAGTGCCCTCCCTTTGCAGAAAGAAGTTGTCAAACTTCTCTCACAGCAGCAACTGGAAATCTGCATCAAACTATGTAGCTAAGCGGTACATGGAGACTGTGGACAGAGATGTGTATTTTGAGGATGTCCGGTTACAGATGGAAGCTAAATTATGGGGTGAGGAGTACAATCGCCACAAGCCTCCCAAACAGGTACATCTTTCTTTTACTGAAATACGTTTTTCGTCAGATCTTTAAAGCTTTGTATCTTTCTCTCCTCAAAACAAACTGTTTATTTTATGTTGCATTTGGCCCTGTTTCCGTTGACTGTCAGGTGGACATTATGCAGATGTGTGTTGTGGAAATGACCTCTCGCCCAGGGAAACCTTTTTACCACCTGGAGCACTATATTGAGGGTCAATATATCAAATACAACTCCAACTCTGGCTTCGTAAGGGATGATAATATACGTCTCACACCACAGGTACAGTCACTGAGAATGCTCTTTCAAAAAGAGCTCATTCAGAAAGTAAAATTGCCAGTGATTTACAGAACCCAACAAATTTCCAGAATTTGGAAAACAAATTTCCCTTGTTTTATAGTCAAGCAGTTTGTAAAAAAAAGTTATCTGTAAACATTGTTACAGTTTCACAATGCAAATTAGTTCTCTGTTCTCCATTGGTAAAAAAAAACTTTAATTGAGTAGGAGAGAGGGACCATGCTCCATTCTAGAGATACCTTCTAAGTCAGAATTCTTCACAGTGATGGTGATAGGAATCAGGCACCTGAAGTGTTTAATGCCTTTAAAATCTCCATAAGAAAATAACTAAATAAAATGGTTTCGAATATGAAACTTGATGCTTGAAACATTTTTTTTTAGGATAGCCTTGAGATAACTGTATGCTACGCTGTGAAGTATTTTTAATACTTCACGGCATAGAGGTACATTCAGGGCATTTTAAGGCAAAATAGTTCCCAAAGAAAATATTTGTTTTACCTTTATTAACATCACTTTTTAAATAGTAAATAAAATAGCCATTTCTGTTGTAGATACCATTCTAATCACCCACATTAAATAAAATCTAAATCTGTAATATTCTCTCCAATTAATTATTTCACATCAAACCACTCTGAATGACTTTGTATACATCTCAATTATTAAATTTTGAAAAATTGTTGAAATTCCTCTTTTAGACCAAGTTGAAAACAAAAAAAAGCAATAGAAGTGTGTAGAGCAAATAAAACTATTAACATAAAGCTAAAATAAAATATTTTAGATTTGATGAAAAGGTAAAAATGTTGTATTTTAGCACTGAACTGACAAATTCTTGACAAATTCTGTGGATGAGAATGGTACATTCAGAACCTGTATCAACAGAGTTCTGGCAATAAAACACAATAGATTGCGCTTCCTTCTGAGGTAGAGAGATTTATAAATGCATTTCATGAATGCCACAAGCTTGTATTGATACGTGACGTCTATGCTTAGGCATTCAGTCACTTCACCTTTGAGCGCTCTGGACACCAGCTGATAGTTGTGGACATTCAGGGAGTTGGTGACCTCTACACAGACCCTCAGATCCACACAGAGAAGGGGACTGACTTTGGTGATGGCAACTTGGGTATTTATCTACATCCCTTTTCCTGCAACAGCTTACATAATTTCTCAGTTTTCTATGCATGCTCTCTTTTACAAAAAGAGCTTCTGTACTGTCCTGTCAGTAGACTGAGCAACCTTATAGTTAAATGAGTGTGCATGTAGTTTTTAATTTTAATTGTTTTGCATGGCTTTGTATGTGTCTCTAAGGTGTACGCGGCATGGCCCTTTTCTTCCACTCTCACCTGTGTAACAAGATCTGCAAGAGTATGGGCCTCACACCTTTTGACATGTCCCCTGCAGAAAACACTCAGCTGGACTGCACCAACAAGCTGCTGGTTAGTCCTGTATCGCTTTGTCCACTAAAAGAACCATAAACTCTTTTGGGAAAAATTAATTCTCGTATGCTCAAATCATTTGTAAAGCAAGTAAATGCGGTAGACTATGTCACTGACCTTCCAAACTCTTTATTAATAGTGCAAGATGCTCTATTTAGCAGCGATGCACTGATCTGGGAATTGTGGGCTGATCGTTGATATTTGATATTTTCCATGTACGTATCTGCCGTTGCTGATACATAAGTATTTTTTAGAAATAATCATTATATCTACCTGGATTAGCACTACAAAGACATAAAATATTTAGTTCTATAGGGTTACAAATGTAGTAAATATAATAAAATGCAGATATTTTAGCACAGTAGCCCAGCATCACCTAAACTTTCTGCTCTTATAGAGCATAATAAATATGCATTGGCTTAAAATGCCAGTCATATCTAAATATCTGTCTGATGTCAATATATTTTTAGCAATTGTCTACAGATACCAATATGATCCTGATTTAATCATGCGTCTCTCCCATTTAAGCTTAATTTCACTTCTGACATTGGGATGGGCAATATGTTGTTAAAATTCTTGAGATTTATTGTGTGCTCTTGCTGGACTTGGGCAGCAGTCAGCTAAGACCATGCTTCGTGGCTGTGAGGAACAGTGCGGTTCTCCACGGGTGCGGACTACCTCCCTCAGCCGCATGCCCCCTATCCTATCCCGCCTTTCAGAGACCTCCTTGGCTGATGAGAACATTAGTGATGTAGATTCCATTCCCTGCTCTCCTTTGAGCCTGGGCCTCTCTGCCGACCGTTCACCAAGAGGTAAAGACTCACAATGATTATTAGTTAATTATGACACTTTAGAAAACACCCCAACCCTACCAGTCAGTCTATTGACCTGCCAGCCCCCTCATCCCCATCAACCTCATGAAGCCCTGCTGTCAACTCTGTCAACCATGTCAACCCCACAAACCCCTCTCTTTAACCTTGTCAACCCCAGAAACCCCTTTCCCCAACTCTATAAACCTCACAAACCCCTCTTGCCAACCCTATCAACCCCTTAACTTCTCTCCCCAACCCTATAAACCCACAAACCCCTCTCTCACTAACCCCATCAACCCCCTCTCCCCATCCTATCAGTAGCCCCAACCCATCTCTCCACACCACCCGCCAACCCCCCAGAACTCTATAAGCAATCGTGACATTCTAAAGGTGATACAGCTAAATCTGTGCTGACTGAAATTAGTCTTGCTAATTTAGTACGTGTCCTAGGAAAAAACATAGCTGTGCTTATTTGCCCTGTTGTATTACCCTTTTATTTCTTAACCGTCATTTACCATCATTGTATATTTTTAAGGTTGCCTGTTTGCCTGAAAATGCTATTGTTCCTTTGCAGTTTGGTCATTCATGAATGACATGAGCGAAACAGACACAGATCAAAAGGTAGGGATTTGAAGAGCCCTTGCTCTATCAAGTTTTCATTTTTGATAAACATATTAGTATTAGTTTAATGTAACGTCACAACGCCTGTCAGCTGAAGCTGAAATTATCTTTCATTCCCTTCATCTTTCAGTTTTCAGAGAATGGAGGAGACAGCGGTTACCCAAGTGAAAGACGCAGTGAGGGAGACCTAGGCGAACACAACGACCGGGTATTCAATTCTTTTTCGCATGCTACATTTGTATAATCATATGTGTATGCAAAATACATGCAAGTACATTCACTTTTATACTGGATTGCCATGTGAACAACTGTTGGTATTACTGTTGTTACTAAGTATTATTTAGTATTACTGAGCTTTTTTCAGGTTGTTTAACTATTACACTTCAATGTACACACAATTCTACCAGATGTGAGTTTGATTGTACAGATATGATGCTACAGATATGACGCATGGCACTTAATAATGATGTAGCTTCAGCTAGAAGAAAGTACTGTAAATGTGCTAGTGTTTTTAAAAATCATGATCAGTGCATCCCTAATATATAGGTATGTGACTTTTAGTGATTTTTTTGCATTAGTGTTTTTTTCTGTTCCTTTTTAAGTCCAGAGAAATGGGTCAGCATTATTATCTGTAGTAATTGACTGTAAGCTCCAGAGGTGGCAGATAGAGATTAGGTTGGAAAACAACTGGTGACAACTGCAGTGAAATGGACTTTGTGACTCTTCAGATTTGTAACTTTAGGTCTCATACCTCACCTTGTAGTTTCGGCCTGTCTACAACAGACATTACTCTGAATCGGATGAAGACAGTGTTCGTCGGGTAAATATAGCTAATGCTTTTTTGTAGTCTACCCATAATCACTTAATCCAGTATGCTGCCATTTCCCTTCTCATCCCTTTCTCACACTGATCCTTAGCTGTTTCTAGTCTTGCCACTACTTGGATTACAAATAATCTCTAATGTTCATCAGTCTCACCCTCCTCTCACCTTCCTCGGCAGAAAGCTGTGGTTAATGCCAGCAAGCTGTCCATTACTGTTAACAGCCCTGATTGTCACACGGTGATTTCCTGCATGCACCACGATTAGCATTGCCCTCTGTTCAGAACACGTGTTATTGATGAATCAGTGCCAAAAAGCTAGTACCCTCAAGTCTTCCTAACCCTTTCTCTGACCCTTTCTTCCTTGCATGTTGGTAGGTTGATAAATTCACTTTCTAATAAAGCAGCATTGACAGTTGCTTTTTGTTGACTTATTTCTTTGGGATTTTTGAGATTATTTATAGTATTTGCTTGTTGTACTGGATGGAAGCCTGGGCTGTTTATTAAGAAAAAAAAAAAACATTCTCTGGCCTTTGGATTAATTAAAAGTGAATTTGAATGAAAAGGGCGACTGCAGTTTTACTGAATCCAAGTTGGTTTTGTGTTCATGGTCTTTTCTTTTTGGAGGCAGTTCCAGCATTTTAGAGTAATGAACTAATAAGGACACTTCCTTTGCCAGATTTTATAAATTCTGCAGGACATAAGCCCTGCAGGCTTTTCCCAAATAAGCATTATTAATTAGGAATTCCACTGGTTTCTCAAAATGTCTGCATATTTCAATCATTGAGGTAATCTGTCATATGGAATATGTTGATGTTAAATGGCTCAATCTGGAGAAACTTGATTTCTTTACAGGGGTGATGATAGGAACCTGTTGTATTGCCTACAGATATAGACATTTTATTTACTATCCAAAAACTAAAGTATTTCTGTTTTAAACTATTTTGCCCTACAATGCCTTGCGTGTGCTTTTCTTCCATAAATATATAAAAAATTGTTTTAGTCCAGAACCTTATCTCAAAACCATCGTAGAACAAGCATCATGCAGTGTATTTGTAATCATTTCATGTAATAGTGTTTTTATGTAGCTGTCAGAGGCATTAACGCTTTGGACGTTTAGTTCCTATCACCACCACTATGAGCAGTTCTTACTTAGTAAGTTTTTCTAGAATGGAGCATTTCAAAAGAAACCTGTCTGAATTACTTGGTTTAGCTCTTAAGGACTTAATTATGTAGAAATTTTGAAAAATCTACAGAATTCCCCTTTAAATACTCAATCTGTTGTGTTCTTTTTCCCCATAATTTAATTTCAGCATCACTGTGCATGCATGAAGACAGCTACTGCTTCTTTCCAAACTGTTGGCCGCACTGCATAGTGAAACGATGCAGTGTATGTGTAGGAGAGCACTAAGGACCCAGGTCCTGTGAATGCCTCAACTGGAGAACTATGATGTTGCATTCCTCAGGAAATATAATGCATTTAAATACAGTAAATTGTACAGCTTTGAATCCCTGACAGTAGGGCTCACCTATGCACTGCTGAGAAACTGCATTTATCATACATATATCAACAGCCTGTGATTCTTTACAGATTCTATACAGCATCGCTAATATGTGTGCTTTACATTTCAGCTGACCGAGGAAAAATGGAGTTTCTTCCACTCTTCGCGTGCTCATATTCACAGACCCTCCTGCGTGGCGGTAGAGGTGGAGAGACTGAACTCTCTGTTTCTTGAAAGGAAAATTGGCAAATCTATTTTAGGCAAGGTAGAGTGCTTTTATTTAACAGACACATTTAATGTGTATCACATACATACATATGTAACACACTTGACAATATATTGACAATAATAGGAAATTTGCCTTGAATGCAGACAAAAAACATACATAGTAGGTTGTAAATCTCTGACCTTAGAATGATCCAGTTTGATTTTGGTTCATTAGGACATGGTCATCAGTATTAATTTCACCACAGTGCCCTTTGGTGTAATTACTTTGGTATGATCTAGAAGCATTTTTAAAAGTGCACTAAAGGTATAATATGATTGGAGGAACTATTTCATCTGATAATCTTAAAAGTGTTGTCAAAGTTTACATGTTTTACATGTAAACTTTGATGTTCAATTATTAATACCACTTATTTTTGTAATGTCATTGTTTATTTTCTTAGTTTGATCATTCAAACCATCTACATTAATGCAGGCTGAAGCCTAGTTTCTCATGGGCTATTGCTATGACTCTGCGCCTGTAGCCCTTTCATTAATTGCAGAAAATATGTGTATAGGTAGTGACCATTCTTAATGTTACACACTGATTTTCAGACTTTGAGACACATTTACTTCAAAACAGATCTAACTGCTCACCATGTCGCCATGAGGGACAGGGAAGCAGTCTGCAAGGGTGTGGCTAAAACAAGGCTCCTCCTGTGGACTAGGACTTTTTCAGTAGTGACAAGACATTTTTTTAACTGAACTTTTCAGTAGTGTCTGGCTGCAGACATGCAGTCTGACAGATGCAGTCTCTGCCACAGTGACGTCACATACACATGTGCTCTCTGCCACAATGGCAGAAGCAGCCCAACGGTGCGTTAACTTTTGGCTCCTTCTGCTTAGCGATATCATCACTTAATCCATTTTTCGCCCATAACATGGCAAGAGAATTAATTTAACGCACCTCCCTGTTGAAAAAAAGTCATAGAACCCATTAACAGTGTCTGCTTGTTCCTGGTGGTTTTCAGTAGTCGCTAATGGTATTCTGTGTTTTGATGGGTTGATATCACAGTGTAAAGGATTATGATTGTTGAATCAGGTCTTCTGGGACTGATTCCAGATACATTTGTTCATTTCCTAATGGCCCCTAATGGCAACCATCAAGCCAATTCCCGTTAGGAAGCAAAACCATCAGGTTTTATTCCTAACGGCCTGCAAACACAGTTATGTTGTGACAATGTACTGTTTTGGTGTCCACAATGCTGTCTGCTTGGTGCTTTTCTATGGTGTCACATCGTTGAACTATAATTCCTCAGAAACTTGTGACATCGTTGTCTGACAACTTTCTAAGAGGTTGTGACAACGTTGATGAGACAGCAGAAGTAATCTGTACCACATTGACTGTACGTTGTCACACCCTCCTAGAGTCCTTAATAAGTTCTGTTTTAATCAATATTACAGTTTTGATAACTGGTAGTAATCGTCTTCAGCATGGCTTTCATGAGTTTCAACAGTAGCCTTTTTGTTTTTTCTGCGAATAAACCCGACGTTCATGTCTTATCAGTATGGCAATGTTACTATGTGTTCAGTGTAACTTGTTGTCCAACAGGTTTCTCGTAAAACCGACAGAAACACTGTTGTGGCAGAGCATGCACTGACGTCATTAATAGGCTGGCGGTGCATGTCAGGCTGAGAGTGTGTGTCTGCAGCCAGACCCTTCTCAAACTTTTTTTTTTTTTTAAAAACTGAACACGGGGGGGCTCCCAAGTGGCGCAACCGTCTAATCGTTGGCCCTATCATCAGGAGATCGCGAGTTCGATCCCTTTTGATTCTACAGCCATCTGTGGCCGGGAGTCCAAGAGAGCACAATTGGCCTCGGTCTCTCTGGATGGGTAGGATGGCCCCCTCTCCCCCCCATCACCCAACGCGACGCTAGTCATTGCAGGCGTCTGTTAGCTGACGTAACAGAACCCGCGGTTGGCAGAACCCGAGCGTTCAGCTGTCCAATGATGTTGCGTGAGCGGCAGTTTGAAAAGATACAGTTGCTGGGTTCACAGGTCTCGGAGGAAGCCTGTGCTAGCCTTCACCCTCCTAGCGTTGGTAGTATCGTGTGATTGGGGGAGTCCTAACTAGCGGGTGGAGTTGGAGATGACTAAATTGGGAAGAAAATCGGGGAAAAATACAAAAAAAAAACAGGAAATTTACATTTTCCAACTTTAAAAGAAATCAAAAATATCAAAAAGAGCATTCAGGGTTTGGAACATGTAACCTAACTAAGAACTGAATACTTTTTTTTTAAATAATAACTAATTCAGTATAGTGTTCCATGTATGTTATATTCACTCATTGTCAGTATTGAAATTTGGATCTGCATTTACTCTGTGGAAATCACATTATTTTTATGTTCAGGTTCATACAAACTCCATGTTCACATGACGATGTTATTGACTTACTGAAAGTAATAAATACATTCTTATGAAGTTTATTGTGTCTACTTATATAGCTACAACAAAATTCACAGCTTTGGAATTTTACAGACAGTTTATGTATTTTATGGACATATTTGTGCAGATTAGAGAAATGCGACTAATTGCCATGAACTACACAAAAAAATAGATTAACTGTGATTTTAATGATTTTAATCATTTGATAGTCCTAAATATTATCATAATTCTAACATTCCAAAATCAGTGTACTTGAATTGGCTAATTGAATTATTACAGCAAGTACAATTACACAACGTGAATGCTCAAAAGTCTCAAAAGTTTTGATGAAACCCTGTTTGTGCCTGATCAGGTTCATCTAGCAATGGTCCGGTACCATGAGGCAGGCCGATTCTGTGAGAAAGATGCACCATGGGATCAGGATTCTGCTATGTATCATTTGGAAAGGGCTGCCATGTGTGGAGAATTAGAGGCTATTGTAGCCCTTGGCCAATGTTACCTGCAGCTGCCACATCACATTCTCCCAGAGATCGAACTAGAGGTACTTTCTTACCCATCTTTTCCCTTAAAGCCAGATTATCACCGGTTTTCCTCTAATCTAGTCCACTTTCTCTTTGTTCCCATTTGTAACACTGGACTCTGACAACAGGATAGTGTGGAGAACAGGAAGAAGGGCTTCAATCTGTTACTTCAGGCTGCTGAGGCTGGAGACAGACCCAGTATGATGTTAGTGGCCAGAGCATTTGACACAGGCAACAGCCTCCCACCTGACAGGTGCGAAAGAACTGGGCTTTGTTACTTAATTTGCTACTTAAAGGACTACTCAAGTATTTTTCAGCCTAATCTCTATCTGCTGCATCAGTATTGTACTACTCAATTACACAGTAACTTAAATGTATTTCCTTGTTTTTAGAGAAGAGAAAACCTGTTGAATAGAAACTCACAGTCGCAGCCTATCGGGCAGTTGCTGAATGAACAGTTGAAATACATGATTAATTAATGTGAATTCGAAACTAGAGCAGTGAAAATCTAACATTACAGGTCTTAGGATGAGACAGACGTGAGAGAATATCTTGCAAAAACTGTTTTTATGAAGTTTTATCTGACTTTGGAACAGTGGAGCTACACAATTTCGGTTGCTTTCACTTTCTGTTAGGTTTTGTACTGTCTGTGTCAATCAGGCAGGAGCCTATGAAAACTGCCTGCACCATGACGCTAATAACGTATTATCATAGATTACAGGGAAATGTGTCGAAATAAGTGTCTGTGGTAATTGACCATACATTACAGATGCAACAAATAGAGATTAGGTTGAAAACTGCTGGTGTACTTGTAAGAGTCTCTGTAGTACAATGAAGTAATACTCGGAGCATTTCAAAGGCCCCAAGCATTGGGCTGTAAAGTTGTGGGACTGCACCATCGAGTACCTTTAGGATGAATTAGAGTGGAGTTTGTAATCAAGTATTAATCATCCACCATCAGTATCTGATCACTAATGCTCTTGTGGCTGAATGCAATCAGATCCTTACAGCAGATCCTTACACAGACTCACACATCTAATATAAAGCATTCCAAGAAGAGTAAAGACTGTAACCTCAGCAAAGGGGGACAAACTCCCATTGATTTCAGATTAAAAGTTTTGATGAGCAAACTTTCGGTCCGCCAACCAAAAATATCTAGCTACTATCTTAGACTTTTATCTACAAGGTGGACCAGCAAGGTAGGTGTGTCTAATAGATTGAACAGTAGGTGGACTAAAACTCCAGCAGCACTGCTGTCTGATTCTCTTGTACCAGCGCAACACAAACTAACACACCACCACCATGTCAATCTCACTGCAGTGCTGAGAATGATCCACCACCCAAATAATATCTGCTATGTGTTAATCCTGACCTTTGAAGAGCAGTGTAAATGGGGGCTAATAAAGTAAGCAAAGAAACATGATGACAAGATGGACTACAGTCTGTAATTGTAGAGCTACAAAGTGCATATGATAAGTGGAGCTGATAAAAGGGGCAAAGAGTATAAATACAAGGTGTACTTTATAAAGTCGCTGGTCGGTGTATAGTATACATTATACAAGCCTGTCTTTCTAGTGGAATATATCTGGTCTATAAATTGTTTAAGGCCAGTGTCAAGGCAGTTCTCTCTTCTTACTATCTTATAAAGTCATTACTACTGTGTTTCCAATGTGCAGGACTCAAGACTGGAAGGAAGCAGTGTGCTGGTACGACTGTGTTCTAAATATGACCGACTATGATGAGGGTGGAGAATTTGATGGTATGCAGGATGAGCCACGTTACCTTCTGCTGGCCCGTGAGGCCGAGATGTATCAGCAGGGAGGATTCAGCCTGGACGCAGATCCACAGAGAGCAGGTAAGTATAACAGAAATTAGCTAATCAGTCAGAAAAAAAACTTTATAATGATTTGCAGTGGCCTTTCCCTCTAAGGGGACAAGTGGACCAAAACATGCCTACAAAATGTCCCCACAGCATAACGGTCAGTGAAGCCCCTCATTGTAGGGGTCAAGCATTCAGGCCTGTACCATTGTCCTATGTGCCACACATGGACATGTGGAGTATATGGGGAAGGATAAGGTGATCTGACCACATCAGTTTATACCAAATCTCGGTAGACTAATGCCTCTGCTTTCTCTCAAACGTGTAAGAAGTTTATGCACTGCAGCCCGGCTATAATATCTCTCTCTTTGTTGTTGTGGAGGGGCTATTCAGACTGATCACGCCCTGCGTTCATTTTGAGGTACCTGAGGAAATGTTCATCTCCTGTTTTACTTTACGCTAGTGCACAAGAATCATAGTCAATGTATGTGTGAAATGCATATGTCACTTAGTCACTGTTCCTGTTGAAACAGTAGCCATTTGCACTGTCTTTATGACTGAAGCTTCTGCCATCTGTGTCCCAATAATAAACCAGCTTTCAAAGATACTCATATCTTTTACACTTGCCATTTTGACCTGCCTGCTAGCATGGTAGGACATTAACTGCTTAATTGTATAATGAAGTTCACCTGTCTGGAAGCATCTGCCCTCATGTTTGTCCACTCATTTATTCAGATTTTTTCATTAATTTGTCACCCATCTGTATATAAAAGACTTGCATGACAATTGTAATATTCGACTTCAATGCAAGCAATTGATCAACTAAGCATAAATTCAGCTTTGAAATTCAACGTGTATTAATTTTGGACCTTACAGTCTTAGAATTTTCCTACATTAAGATGTTCTTAATGACTTCTGATGTTCTTAATAACTGTCACATTGTTCTTAATCAAACTTTGCTGGCTGTTTAAAACAGCATTCAGCTTTTTTGTGCTGTCTGGGGCATTGAACTGAACAGATTACATATTGTACCCACAGTAAATTGTTGTTACTGCTTTTCATCTGATTCAATTTAATGATTACCAATTACCAACAACTAGCTCATTTTGTTTAAAACAAAAGATAACTCTCATGTCTTTTTTTTGTGATGAATAAAAATTATATTTTGCTCCAGACAAGTTTTTCCAACAGACATGTTCTTCCTTTGTAGGTGATCTGTTCACTGAAGCAGCCGATGCTGCCATGGAGGCAATGAAGGGCAGACTGGCTAATCAATATTACATGAAGGCTGAGGAGGCTTGGTCTGCAATGGAAGAGTAGAGGAAATTATTTGATCTTCCAACACTCTTAACATTTTTTATTTAGCTCTTTGGGATATGTTTACATGGTCTTTTACAACATCTTTCAATATGCTGTGATGTCCTTTTTATATGTAGCTGCCGTAAAGCAGCTGCACATGAGTGCTTCTGTCAATTTCTGGAACGTGTGCATTTTAGGCTAGTTATACATTCACACCACTGCAAGCAAAAACAAGAAACAAAAAGTCCACACAAAAATGCTTCAGTAAGTAACATAGCAATGGCAGTATCACCGTTCACTGTGGTTAAAAGCCCCCTTTTCTCATATTTTGTGCTATGGTTATATAATAATTAACAGACCGTGTAGTCAGCTTTACACCAGGTTCATAGCATAGTTTTACGCTTTACTGTCTTTATCTGTCTCTCCCTGAGAGCTGAAGTATACAGTGACTTGTTTTTGAGGTTGGTCAGTAGAGCTACACAATTGATTAATTGATTCAAGATCGCAATATATAGTTTAGAATTGAGACCACTCTGCACGTTTGTGTGTGTGTGTGTGTGTGTGTGTGTGTGTGTGTGTGTGTGTGCGCGCATATATATATATATGTTGTTACATTATATTAGAATATCCACAACAGGAAGCTGTTGGTGCTCAAGTTGTTTGTGTGCATCATTGAAAGAGAGGAAACCCACAGCAACAGGATCTCATATATGTTGCATTCAGATGTATTAAATATACCATATCTAAGATTGCTGTTTTATTTAACTAGATCAAGGCCAAGTTTCTTGACAGATACCTAACCCACATCTACAGTAATGGATAAATGATTTACTTAAGTATTTGCAGTTAAACATACATAGGAAAGAATATTTTACTGGAATGGTTTTAAAAGCTCCAATTGTCCATATTTAAGCTACAGCTGCTGTAAGTAATATTAAGATTAGTAAAGGTACACCTAAAAGTACTCCTTTGCTACCTTGCAACATAAAACTGCATGTCCAGTAGGGATGCTAGAGGAAATTAGCCAGGTCCAAGTTTATCACACATAGTCCTGTCATATGCATGAAATTTCTAAGGGGTGGAACTGCAGCAGAATCAGTGCTGCCAGTGATTGAAATTATATTGAGAAATTAATCGAAATATGAATGAATTGTGCAGCCCTACGTGATAGCTAAGCTTTTGGATTCTGACATGGAAAAAATGTGACAAACAACACCTTGATGAATGACCAACACTATTCTAGATGTAAAAGTTCACATCAAGCACACGTGGAAACTGTTTGAATGAGTAGGAGGAAAGACCTGAAGTTTGTGTGTAAAACTGGAGTCTAGATAACTGGTGATTTAGTTTAGTTATCCTGCTTGAGAAATATCCCCAGTATTATGATATTGTGGATATTTCACAAGCAGTTTGAGAACTTAAGCCAGTATTAAGGTTGTCCAACAGTAGAAGTAAAGAGCTCTTAGACAGTCATCACTTTAAGGCATTGTTTATTTCATACTCTGAGGTAGTAGTGGGTGGTATCCATTATACAGTTTGAAATTGTTTCTACATTAAGTTTTGGCGTAATTGTTATACCGGTATGCCACAAATAACTGCAGATAACACGATGTACAAACAATGCAAAACTTGCTAATGTTAGACTGTTTGTCATTAATGTTTCGGTCATCTTTCAAATGAAAATGCAGCATTCCCTCGATCACCTCCCATCCATTTCATCTGAATGAATGAATATATATATATATATATATATATATATATATATATATATATATATATATATATATATATATATATATATAATGTATGTATGTATGTATGTATATGTATACTGAAACTTCAATTAGTTTTAGTACCATGATATACATTTTTGGCTATACTGCCCACTACTCCTGTGGAGAAAGCTTGGGCCAGTATTGAGGCTGTACAATAGTAGGAGTGGTAAGAAGCATTACTGTTGGACAGTCATCACTTTATGGCATTCTGAACTCTGAGGCTGTGCTTGGTATGAAATACCATGCTGATGTCAAAACATGAGAAATTTCTGACAAAAGTGAAAACCCACACCAAAGCACTAAAAACGAAGGGGGAAAGCAACAGATAAAGAGTGAATGATGTAATTGGCAGTGCTATCTTTGATGACCAGAGTACTGTCTTGCCTGGTCTGAACAGTGACTCAGCTTTGCCTGTTTTTGCTTCACTGGGGTGTGACTTCTGATTTTTGTTTATGAAAGCAAATGGCTGTATAACAAAAAAAAAATATGAAAGTGAGATAATAATAAAAGTTTGCAGACTGCAGTGGTATGATGCAGATGACCAAATACACTCTACTGACCTGACATGTAGAATTCCAAACATATTTCAAAAGGTCAGCATTATTTGATCCTTAAGATGTGAACAAAGTTATTCAGAGTACTCTTACATGAAACATGCCATTCCTGGGAAATGTGCCAAGTCGGAATCAGATTGTTCATAACGGTGGTGATAGGAACCAGAGCTCTCAAGAGGTTAATGCCTCTAAAAGCTCCCTCACAGAAAGTTCATACATGTAATGTTGAAGAATATGCCGCCAGATGCCTAAAACATAGTTTTATGTTAGGTTTGAGATAACACTGACATAAAACATTTTTTTAAACATATTATAGGTTAAGAGGTACATACAGGACAAAATAGTCCTAAAAGAAAATGGATTTCACTCTGTTTTAAAATTAACAACGTGACATAAAAATTTAGAAGACATGTGTAGGACCACTGGTCATTTTGGACAATAAATAAAGCGACTGTATTTGCATGGTAGACATGACAATTCCTGGTTCCTATCACCACTCTAAAGAAATCTGAGTGTGTATGTTTCTCTACAATGCACTATTCGACATCGGGCCACTCTGAGCCACATTGTTTACAGTTCAGCCATTGTGCAGATATTACGAAAAAAAATGGAATTTCCCTTAATAGAACACAAAAATGAACGCACTATTACAAATAACATGGTAGTGGTTGGTGAACTGGTAAAAACGTTTAAGTGTACTTTTGGTTTTCTAAAACAGTTTTGCATTGTAAAGATAAAAAGTAAAGCTAATATGCTGCAGACATTGTTATATGTTGTTAACACTGGCAGTTTTTTTCGCCAGTGAAAGTAGTTCCAGCAGTGTACAAATGGTGTTAACTTTAGATTCGCATCATTATGTGTGGCTATTTCAGTGCAGTAAAACAATTCACAGCAAGTTTTTTTTACCAAGACTCCTGTTCATAGATAAAGCGCCTTAAAACCATCAGGTCAATATGGTGCTATAGCTCTGAGCAGTTTTTAAAAGCCATTTCCTTGCCAACAAATGGTACTAACTTTTACATAGAACTGTGTGGCATTTATGGAGCATTTGTGGCTCAGTAGCATCTTTTTCTCACAAATGAGCAGAAAATTGTTTGTGTTTGAGGCTGTTGATCAATACAGTATCCCCCTTTTAAAGCAAAACAGGCCCATCTATCCTTTACATGATCATTAAGAAATATGAACTCTATTTTTTTTGCATTATCCTCATGACTTATACTAAAAGAGGTGGTTTACATGGTTTAAGTTTTAACATGCTTCCCTTTTCTCAATAATTAAAATCGCTGCATACATAAACAAAAAACTGCCTCCAATTTTTTGCATTTTTGCCTAATAAACCTGTGACAGTTAAGTGGTCTCTCTAGTCATTGAACATGACTACATACTTTTTTTTTCTTATATTTTGTTATTATGTTGCACCTTTAATGGTCTTCAGTACAACTTAAAGCATTGTGCATTTGAAGCAAAAAGTGGCATGAACATAATGTTTGAGTAAACATGGTGCTGTATATATTTTCTTTTATTGACTGTATACAATAAAATTGATTTAATTTTAATACCTGTTCTCTCTGTGCAGTTTTAGACAGTTCGGTTTTTGAATACAGAATCACAGATTGGCAATATGTTGGTTCCTTTTTCCCCTTTCCAAATCACTCTCTGTCAGTACATGACTGTAGCATCAACTGAGGAACTTAAATGGAAATTACATTTTTGCAGATGTAAATGGTTAAAATGTAAACAAAGTAGTTTGGAATTCACCTAGTCAGATTTGTTCACAGTAGTGTTGATGAGAAACAGACGTCTCGGGCGTAATTCCCCTAAAAGCCCCCTCACAGACAGTTGTTAAATAAAAAGGTAATGTGTTTTCTGATACCTGAGACATTGTTTTATGATAGTTTTGAGATACAGTTTGGACCTAAAATTTATTTTAATTAATTCATGGTGGAGTGATAAATGCAGGGTGTTAGAGGGCACAATAGTACCCAAAGAAAACTTTTTTTTCTTTTTTTTTTTAGATATACCACTATTTTACCATTATCAGCAGACACATCACTGGTCATTTTAGCTTTAAATGACTGTTTATATCTCAATGATTACCTCGATTTTTTTGAAAAATAAGTGGAATTCCCCTTTAAGGCACATCTCCATACATGTTCTTTGTCTGCTCAAGTATGGAACTCATTGTCTACTTCTTGTAAACCTGGAGAGGAGAACAGACAACTGTAGTCGTGTGTCATTCTGTAGTTCGCGTTATGTCCATATTAGGAACTAAGATCAATTTGTCTTTGGTCAGAGTGAATGGGGTTTTCGAAAAATCGCCTCTATTGCACCCTGTGGTAAATAAAAATGTTCAGAACCCGATACCCTGCTCCCAACACACCTGGTCTAACTGATCAGCTCATTACCAGCCCATTGTTGAGTTAAAGTGGGTGTGTTAATGCAGAAAATTGAAATGTGTGTATACTGGGCCTCCAGGACTAGAATTGAGAAACACTGGTCTATAGAGCAAGGGTTGTCAGCTGCGGTAGAACATTCCGATAAAGCACAACTTGTCAGAACACCACCATAGCCCGCATTACTTTTGTGTATAGTGACATCAAACTGATGCGCAGTAACTTTAGCTTGTATGTAGCAATGTAAGTATTTAGACTCTTTAACCACCTCGTAATTCAGAGGATCCAGGGATATCTGAGAGAAACGTATCAGGGTCTGAATAATTTTTCGAAGAGGCAATTTTTCGAAAACGCTTACACAAACGCAGCTCCTA